TAAATTGAGAAGTTGAAACAGTTTCATCAACAGAAGGCCATTTGTTTGATTCTGATAAAATTACTGAAACTGTGCTTTGACTAATTTCAAAATCTTTAGCTAATTTATCTTGAGTTAAGCTAGGAACATTTTTAGCACACTTACATAGTTCTTTTTTTTTGCAAAGAACTTAAAGAACTTCTTTTTTTGGATGAAGGTTAATTATGATTTTTATTAATCAACGTTTTATTGTTTCGATTTTTTCAGTGATCGAATGTTTTTGATTGGTTCTCTCGTTATACTGACATGTCATTATAACGGGTGTCAGTATAAGGATAAATTCTATATTAAAATGAAAAATCATAATAAAAATAATAAAAAAAATTCCTTGTGATTCACGCCAAAAACGTTTTACTACATATCCTAACTTTCAAGAATTTGTCGATGCTAAAAAGTTATTTGTAAATGTGGTCAAATTATTTCACTTGAAGTTAATTATCAAGTGTTTGGGCAGTTATTACGTTTTATGAAAAATGTGGGCAAGGACATTCATGGGTAGAAAAGCCAGCAGGATTTTTAGATCATTTATCATATATTTCTATTAAGGCCATGCTGCAACAAAACCAGACAAAGTGAACATCGATATTACCAAGAATTTCAGGGATCAAAATTTAGTCATTTGTAATGTGATCATAATTAACAGTTTTATAATATGGGACATACTGCAACAAAACCAGACAAAGTGAACATTTATATTATCAAGAATTACAGGGATCATTTAACATCACTATTGTATTACCAATGTAATGTGATAATGATATTTGTCTAGACAAAAATAGTTAATATGAAGCTAATTTACATTAGGTCTACTATGGAACCAAAGAATTACAGCACCATTAGAAGTATTCTAAAAAAGGAACAAGGTGAAAAAATTGCACCTTACATTTTCAAAATAAATGATACTCAGATGCTGGAAGCTTATCTAAGAAAAGAAAAGATTACTTATGAAATTTACCATGAAGAAAGAAAAATAATAAATGTTGGAAAAAGGAAGCATCATGATGATGTATTATTACCTAATAAAAAGCAAAAATCTTTAAAAGGAAAATAATTTTTTTTCTTTGATAGATATTTATTTGCAAGAGGGATTATTTATTTATTTTTTATTTTAAAATGTAAATTCATCCTTTATATATATATATATATATTAATTATAAGAACCTATTCAATAAATTAATTTTTGTCCAAATATAAATGTTAAATGTCGCGATTGTATATACAATATTGTCAAAGTTACACATGAGTTGTAGAGTCAGAGCATTTAAATTGTTGTCGATAGATATAATTATTTTTGAATCAGGGACACACAATTAAAATGCTCGTTATTTTTTATAAACTAGCAAAGATATGTCTGTGGCATTAAAAAAATGATGCAAATTATTTTATTTTTTCTATTTATTCAGATTTTTAAGTATTATTCTGAAATTCAATATATTTGTTTTATATAGTTTAGAAATTACTCATTTTGATAGCTGTTATATCCTGTTTTATCTAATTCATCCCAATTTGTAATAATACATGGATTATATAAAGAATTTCTAATATTATTTAAATCAGCTTTTTGTTCTTTCCATACTGTTGTATTACCCATTGATGATAAATGAATTAAAGGAATTTCTGTTAATAAATTTGGATTATATGATTGATTATTGACTGCTATTAATGAACATATTTGATTTCTTTGTCCTTCAACAATAGAATCATATAAAGAACTATTAGGACGCCATACAGTTATTAATGCTTCCCTAGATTGAATTTTAGATTGAATATTATAATCAACACACGTACTTTGAAGAATGGAACAACAGAACGTACAGATTTAAAATCTATTAATTTTAATTGCTCATTAATCCATTTATCTGTTTCGTTTAAGTTTTCTGGAATACACTTTTCAAGAATTGGTAATACTTTGTTTTGTAACTGTTCAGTAAATTTTCTCTGAACTAATTTTTCATCTTCTTCATTACGTATGATATACAGTCCATCCTTAGTTGTTTCACGATATAATAATGGGTATTTTTGGATTACTATAACATCAATTCCACCGATATATCCACCATCTGGTGTAAGACTATTTAATAAAGTAAATGATTTAAGTTTTCCAAATCCAAGTTTAGAATTAAAATCAGTCAGTTTAGTAGAATTTCCAGATATTCTTAAATAAATAGAATTTGCATCTAATATGGATGTTTTTTCAACAGATTTTCTATAAATCCTTGCACCACATATCTCAAGTTTGCAACCTATTATTATTTTAGACTTATCTATGGCCCTTTGTAGTGGTGGATCAATATATGCATAAATTTTATATATTCCATCGGTTAATTCAAGTGATGGTGTTGATAATGATTTATCATCAATTATGTTTGATACACATAGAATAATAGGCCACGATGGTGAAGTATCACCTTCCATAATCGATTTTATACAAGACGTTGATTGTTCACTTAGAAGAGACAGTGCCGTGGTGAAACTAAATAAATATGTATGTGTGAATTTTGAATTGTGAAATTTACTTTTTAACTAGAGTGACGAGTGACAGTGGCGATAACCACCACCATCCTTATTCTTAAAACACTTACCCAGCGATATTAGCTTTATTGCTTGTTTGTTTCTTTTTTTATTATCTCGCTTAGACATTTTTTAAAAATATTTTTAAAAATAAAAATTTTGTTACGATCGACAAAAAACGTGTGCACATTAATTATTTATCCTATTGGTTTTTTTTTTTTTTTTTTTGGTAGGACAGACGCGAATTGATTTTTTTTTTCTTCCTTGGAAAAACAATTAATTTATTTTTTGACAGGTGACAAAACGTGAGTGTTGTTGTTTGGTTTGGTTTGGGTCTCCTAAAGAATACGTGTTAATGACAGAGGTACAATTTTTTATTTGTATCGATTGATATTTTTTGGTTATTATAAATATTTTAATTGGAATCAAAACGCGGAGCAGATCTTGCTGGGTAATTACAAGATTTTCAT